ATAAAAAGTCTAAAGGGGCAGGATTGGGGTTGTAGGAGGAATGGGGTGAGGTTTCCCAACAAAATTCTCAGATGGTTCATTCCTACCATCATGGAACAAGTGGGTACTTTGTTGAGACGGGGCAGCGGGCGAGGGATCCTGTTTAAGTTTCCTGTCCTTTTTCTTACAAATGCAGTTTTTAATCTTGGTCTATCCCCTTCAGGAAAATGTATCCATTTATCCCTTTGGAATTCCCAGAAACAGTTGTTGTAATGCCCTCAGCTAACCTCCCACCTTGCCCTGGTTTAGCAATTCCCATGGGAAGCCAATGTTCAATTGGGCCTTGTTTTGAAGGCATGCTAATGGGACTAAGGCATCGCTAAAAAGGCTTGTCTGCAGCCATCCACTGATCAAATGACCTGTCGCAACATTTTGTTTGGAATCAGCCCATGCTTGTGTGGACTGGAACCATAGTAGACATAACTTTCGTCCTACTACCCAGAAACCAAAGATTATAGTGGTTACCAGGTGGGGGTGTGGTGGGGAGGAAGAGCTTATGTTCAGGGGGCACAAGATTTATGAAAGGGGTACCCCCCCCAAAAAAACGGATTTTTCAAAGCTATGGACTTAAATTTTTTATACAAAACCTCAGCACCTTCAAAGTACTCTCCATTACATTTGTCAAATCTGCAATTCCACTCGTAGAAACAGTTTCAAACTCATCTGTATGGATGGCTGACAGCACCTTCGTTTTTTTTTCTTCACCTCTTCTACATTGTCAAATCACTGTCCTTTCATGTCCCTCTTCATTTGGGGAAAGAAAGTTGCACAGAGCAAGGTTAGGTGAGTCGGTGCATGGGGCAAGAGAGAGTAATGCTGATTTTGCCAAAAACTGGCATACTGATATGGCTACTGGCGCAGTTAGTGTCTTGGTGGCAAAACCAGTCCCCCGTCTGCCACAAGTCAGGCCTCTTTTGCTACACACTTAAGCTTTTCATTTAGAGATTCTGAAAGATAATGTAAGAGTCTGACCTGGTGCAACGAACGCCAAATGTACTATGCCCCTCACATCAGAAAAACAAATGAGCATCGTCTTGATCTCTGATTTAACTTGACAAGCTTTTTTTTTTTTTTTGGGGGGGGGGCAAGGGGATAATGGCATCTTTCACTGGGCTTGGTTTGGTTTCGGGGTCCTAAGAATAGCACCATGTCTCGTCACTAGTAATGACCATCGGAAAAAAGTCTGGGTCCTTTCCGTACTGTTCTTTCAAAGCACGGCATATTTCCACTGGATGTTCTTTTTCCTGCTTAGAACCCGAGGCAAACTTCACAGCAATCTCTCTCATTCCCAAATCTTCTGTTAAAATTAGCTGAACTGAGCTCCAAGATTGTCCAGCTAACTTCCCCATCTCTTCAATGGGTCCATCATGGGTCTTTGAGCACAAGCAAATGGATTTTGTGGACATGTTCTTATGTTCGGGAAGCTGAATACATCCAGAATGAGGCTTGTCATCAATGGACGTTTCACCTTTTTGAAACGAGAAAACTCATACCGTACACGAGTTTTCCCTATAGTGCTGTCCTTGTAAGTTGTGTTCAATGTCACAAGTTTCTGTGGCATTTTTCCTGAGCAGGAAACAAAAGTTCACAGCTGCACACTGTTCTCTTAAATCTGCCATCACAAAAAAATGAGTTTCGAGTGAATCTGCTTTTACGAAAAAATTCACTTTGATCAGAGAACCTTCCCAGGTGATACCACTGGGTGCACCAAGTCAGAGCAAGTTGCTCCATCTTTGCTTAGAGGAGAAAGTATGCGCACTACCAAAGCTCTGCCCAGCGGAGCTTTTTCCATTTGTGTGTGTGTTGGGGGTGGGGGGAGGGTACCCCTGCATATGTTAATATTGGTAGAATGACCTAGAAAAGGATAAAGGAAATGGGTGCTCAGCTTGAAGAATGCAATCAATGCTAGTGAATTAAACAAGCAGACTTGAGAAGATGTATAGTTGTACATACTTGCACAAAGGGAAACAAAAAACTTGCATGTTGGTTTTTCTAGTAGAACCCCCCTCTTCCATCTCTCTCTTCAAGGATAACCCAACAGCTACAGCCTATCTCCACAACTTTCTTTCCCACAATCCTGGGATGGAAAAAAACTAAAACACGTTCAAGTCAATGGAAGCAAAAACAAAGACTGTATGCTGGTTCTCTTGTTGAAAGTTTATTGTTTATTGGGGGGAAAAAATCAACTTAAACTTTTTACATTCACCTCCCAGAACATTTAACAGGCCCAGTTAATGCAGTTGTATAAAAATTTGACCAGCTGCTGTTTTAAAGACTACATACCTCTCTGGGCCAGTATTAAAGTGGCTTCAGCTCTTTGGGAATCAATATAATATGGAGCACTGAATTTTTCAAATTCCCATTAGAATAAAATTTTAAAACAAAGAGGAAATCACTGAGTAAAAATTCAAGGCTAAAAGGTAAGGTGAATAGGGAGGGGAGGGAAAAGCAAAAATATGGGGGGCGGGGAGGATGCCCCCCACTTCCCCTTCCAAAAACCAAAATCACTGCCATTGAGTGGATGCCAACTAATAGAAACCCTGTGGGTTTCCGAATCCGTAATTCTTTATGAGTCTAAAGCCTTGTCTTTCTCCTGGCTATACCTATAGTAAGGTTTAAGAAAAACAGAGTACCTCCCTCACCCCCCTGGCCTAGCACTGGACTTTGGAAATCAAACACAAGTCCATGTAGTCTGATGGTTTTTAGAACATGCACTGGCCCTCATTAAAGCTTTAACATGGGGGGAGGGGGGGAGTAATAAAAAAGAAAAACGGCTTAAGTAGTTAGACATCAACACTGACATCCAAACAAATGACAACATCCTGACTTTGGTACGGCTGCCTTGGGTGGGGGGAGCCCCACAAACACCTCCCATCGGAGGCACAACCTGCACCTGGGCATGTCCATGGCACACACTGGGGCAACTTGAGCCGAGTTCCCTGGAAGAAATCCTATGTAACGGTCTTGATCAGCTGTGTCTGGACCAACCTTTGCACTTTGCTCAAAGAAGTTTGAATCCACGAATTCATAGTGAGAGACTAGGAGGCAGGAACTGGTCATTGGGGCTAAAACTACCCTCCCTCCTGGAGTTCTACGGGATCTCAGACTCAATCTCCCTTTTGTCTGCTTCTGTCCATCACAAATGTTACCTGCACCCATCACGGACAGGCCTTATACCCCAGTCACCAGACAGAAGCCTTTGAGAGTGACCAAGCTACTGACATTTCACCTGAATCTCAACTAAATAAAAGGAAAAACCTTCTGGGAGTCGGAGTCAGAGATTATGCTGTGTCTCCATTCTGCTCCATGTTTCGTCCATTACCCCACACTGAGGGACAGGAGAAGGCAGTGAGGGACAGGTGGAGACCCGTGGAAGCACGGAGGGAGACAGGAGGACACTGAGGACACTGAAGCACAGGGATGGAGCACACAGTATTATCCCTTCTGAGCATGGTTTACACATGAAAGATCATGCTTTGGTCTTCAACTCAAGAGATGGAGCACACAGTGTTATCCCTTCTGAGCATGGTTTACACATGAAAGATCATGCTTTGGTCTTCAACTCAAGAGATGGGCACGGAGCAAAGACAATGGATGTGCCTCTATGCAGAACCTTGGTGCATGGTTTCCAAGAAGATGGTCATTAAGAACAAAACAAAAAGGCCCAGCATATGCAAGTGTTGAAATAAATTTCCCTCAGGGCAGGAGCTGATAACCCAGAGCCACCTGGCTATACGGATGTCACAAACACCAGAATGACAACCCCAATGAGACAGGCCCTCCCCAACAGCAAAAGCATCAACAAGAAACAGAACAAAGGTCCGGCTCCTGGCCCTGGTTGTCATGGGGGTGGGAGAGCAGAGGACAGATGGAGAATGCCCAGGCATCTTTGATGAACATCCATTCTACTTTCTAAGTATGATGTCAGTGGGGGGCGAGGAGAGTACATGAGAAATTACAACAGAAATTTTGATGTACAAACCTTCTTTATTCTCAGTAAGGTTTGGTTTCTTCTTGAAGCTAGGACTTCAGAGGAGGAGGTAACTTGAGATCTCGGCCCCCAGTGTGCTTCGGGTCGTGGACACCAAGGGAAGGGTGAGTAGAGCCACTTGAGACCCAAGGGAGTACCTGTGGAGTTGCCTAGGATGTGTCAGGCCCACAGACCACTCCCGGAGGTGCCAACAAAACTGCTCCACG